AAAATACAAGCAGCTAAATGTTCTTAAAAGTAAAAGTAGTCATTATGCAGCAATAGGCTCCTGTGACTGATATGTTGTTATATATGATAATATAAAAGTGGCAGTTAGGGACACGAAGGAGGGAGGAAGAACAAATCCACAAATTTCTGTTTATTTTTGGACTTTTTTTTATAATTATCTTTGTTTTTTGTGAAATATTATAAAATGTAACCTCTTTGTGCCTTGAACAGTTATTTAAAGGAGACCCTGTGAGGAGGGGAAATGTCTACAACTCGCAGACGTCTGAAACGCGTCAAAGGGCACTAACAAGTTAAAAAGGTTTAGAACTGCTGGTTTTATATTTAAAAAATGTGTTTCAGTATTGTTTGTTTATTGTATGTATTTAATTCTTAATCTGAAAAGTAACTATAGCTGTTAAATAAATGTATTGAAAGAAGGTTGCAAGTTTCCCTCTGAATTGTAGTGAACTATAAACATACAAAGTCACATAAAATTAAGAAACTTTAGTACTAGAATCCAAGTTTTAGGCTACTTACAGTACTGGAGTAAATGTACTTAGTTACTTTAGGGAGCCTCAGTGGAGACATTAAAGCAGCGGTTCGCAACCTTTTCCCTTAAGGAACCCTGTTTTTATCTTTGAGTAAACTGACTAACTGACATATTCTTATAGATATTTCATATTATAATCAACACATGCTGCAGAACTGCAGGAAGTTTGTGTAAAACGAGTGATTTGTCTGAATTATTTTCTGTGAATATTGATCAGAAAATGAGTTTTACTGACATTTTTAGCAACTTTTTATATAATTCTCTATCAGTATTATAGTTTTTAACAATGATATATATTTAATAAACGTCCTTTTTGACAAATTCTGTGTTTTCTTCTCCTTGACGCCTGTTATTTTAACTGCGTACTTTACTTTTCTTCACAGAAATATGTTGAGATATTTTCCTACTGTGTGTATTTTTACGTTTTCTTGCACCCTTTAAGATCAAGAAGGCCTCGCAACCCCCCCGTGAAGCTCTGGCGACCCCTATTAGAGGAACACCAAAGATAAAATGTATAATTACAAAGTATGACAACACTATAAAACCTATATAGGAACAATGCAACCGAAGTAAACAATAGATATAATACTGTTTACACTGCTCATTAAAAGAATAATCTCACAATTCTGCAGTTATTTTTCCTACAGACTGAACCTGATGACACACACACACACTTACACACACACACACACACACACACACTCACACACACTCACACACTTACAGTAATGTGTGAATCAGGCCCAACTGGGGGACGCTGAGCAGCAGCAGCAGATCAGGATGTCTGTCAGCCAGTGGTGGTTTGTGTGAGAGAGAGACAAGACAACTTGGTTACATAATCCAGGCAGCAGCAGAACAAGAAGAAGAAGAAGAGCGACCTATGCGCGCAGCTGTCCTCGGAGCGACTGGAGACCCAAACCCCGACAGGTTTCCACTCTCAGGGAAACCTTTTCAAACTGGACTCCCTGAGGAATGATTGCTCTCACAGAGGATAAAATACATTCAATCTAATCTTTACAATCCGACAGTAAATTCGGCTGACAAACAATGTGCCGAATATAATCTTTTCTCATATAATTTAAACTTTTAGAATT